CTTTTTAAAAAGAATTTTATTGAAGCAAAAGTTTACAATCAAAGGACCGACTAGCATAGGGTCTAGCTACATAAAGAAAATGAATCATACGTCTATTGTTCAAAGGGTTTATATATTGTATATCTGCTGTTTGTCTGGTTCGTCATATATGCTTTGCCATTACTATTGGTGGATCAAAGGTAGGGTAAGGAAAAGCTTTAAATATTTACATTTTTATTTCCATCAGTGCAAATTGGTAATATTTGGTATTCGACTAATTTTTTTCTTTTGTACTAGTCTTGGAACATTGCGAGGTTTTCATAAAACCTAAAATCTTCAAAATAGGGGAAAGATTGTTTTTACTTAAAATAAATGTACCTAGTTGATTCATTCCTAGTACAGCAGGCCTTTTTCCAAAAATGATCTACGTTATTACTGGAACATGATTTGAGTTTATTTTCATCTCTGACTACAATCTCCAAAATTAATTGTATTTTATGTTAAACAATTCATGCCTGTCATAATGTAGTAGTGCGTTTCATTTTCAAAATACAATATTCCATACATTAGTATAATTAAAAAAAACAAACTAAAACATGAAATATTGAGTGGGAGAGGACCCAGAGCATTTTTTTGGCCTGTGCCCATGTGAAACTGATGGCTGACATCTGTGTGAAAATAAAGAGTTCTTCGAGAAATAGAGTAATTTTCATCTTAACTCTTAATTATGAAATTTACATTTAATTTCTCTCAGTGCAAACTGTTAATATTTGGCATTTGACTAATTTTTTCTTTTGTACTAGTCTTGGAAAATTATGAGGTTGTCATAAAACCTAAAATCTTCAACATAGTGAAATGACACTTTTTACTAAACATAAATGTATCTAGTTGATTAATTCCTAGTATAGATTCTTTTTTTTTTTACTAGAACCCATCTGTTCCCATTTACATACAGTCAACTGAACCTGATAGCGGGTGTACAATTGTCACATGTCCTTTCCACATTCTGTCCCTAACTAGTGTATTCAATTCAATTCAACGGGAGTAGGAACATAATCTGTCATTGGTGGATCAAAGGTAGGGTAAGGAAGAGCTTTAAATATTTACATTTTTATTTCCCTCAGTACAAATTGATAATATATGGTATTTAACTAATTTTTTTCTTTTGTACTAGTCTTTAAACATTGTGAGATTGTCATAAAACATAAAATCTTCAACATAGTGAAAAGATTCTTTTTACTAAAAATAAATGTACCTAGTAGATTAATTCCTAGTACAGCAGGCCTTTTTCCAGATATGAGCAGCATATCATTATAAAGATAAGCTTAAAAAACATATTGCACAATTAAAAAAAAAAAAAATCATCAAACAGATATATTGCTCATTATTTATTATGTTTACCTCAAGTGAAAACAAAAAAAACTGTTTATTCCAGTTTAATTTGAAAGGTAAACATTCAAATGTGTAATCTTATTATTTTTTTTAATATGATTGCAAATGTATTAAACATTATTAATGGTATTGCTGATGATTTTCTAAACATTTCTTTCTGATTTTTTTATGTTTTTGCACTCAAACTGCGCCAGTTAATGTTTTTATTTGTTTGTTTTTCTATTTTTTATTTTTTTTTTATTTATGGTATATATTTCATAGTATTCCTGATGTGCTGTCTTTCAAGAATAAAATTTTATATTTATACACTCTCTCATTGTATAGAAACTTTTTCAAAATTGAAATTATAAATTGCAATCTAACACATTCAAGTGATTTATTTGCTTACATTCTCCTGTAAATTTATTTTCAGGATCCAGGCAACTTTTTTTAAAATTTTTATGAATTCTATCTGTTGGGGCCAGGGTATTCAAAAATCGAAGTACAAATCTTTCCCCGTTGAGTTTCCTCAAATGTCCTATGATAATTATAAGTCCTATGATAATTATATACTTTATCTTTAACAATTTAACAGATTCCTCTGATTCTTTTTTTTTACTAGAACCCATCTGATCCCATTCACGTACAGTCGACTGAACCTGATAGCCGGTGTACATCTGGCACATGTACTTCCCAGATTCTCCCCTTAACTAGTGGATTCAATTCAATTTCAAAGTATCACCTCTATATCAAAGGGAGTAGGAACACCATCTGTCATTGGTGGATCAAAGGTAGGGTAAGAAGAGCTTTAAATATTTACGTTTTTATTTCCCTCAGTGCAAATTGATAATATTTGGTATTTGACTAATTTATTTTTTTTGTACTAGTCTTGGAACATTGCGAGGTTGTCATAAAACCTAAAACCTTCAACATAGTGGAAAGATTCTTTTTACTAAAAATAAATGTACCTAGTTGATTAATTTCTAGTACAGCAGGACGTTTTCTAAATATGAGCAGCATATCATTATAAAAATAAGCTTAAAAAACATATTGCACAATTAAAAAAAAAAAATAATCATCAAACAGATATATTGCTCATTATTTATTATGTTTACCTCAAGTGAAAACAAAAAAAAACTGTTTATTCCAGTTTAATTTGAAGGGTAAACATTCAAATGTGTAATCTTATTATTATTTTTAATATGATTGCAAATGTATTAAACGTTATTATTGGTGTTGCTGATGATTTTCTGAACATTTCTTTCTTATTTTTTAATGCCAATGTAACACAAGATAAATTTATGTATTATTTTTTGCTGCTTTTGTTTAACCACCCCTAACCCACCGTTCAGAGCAAAGGCAGGATAAAAACAATACGTAAATTTCTATTGAAATGATATAAAATATTTTTTCTCGGCTCCAAGACCCATCGGACCGAAGGCCGTGATATGTGCCCAATATTTTTTCAAAGTTGATGATTTATAGAATATATTTTTTTTAATAATATTAAACTTAAAATATGTGGGTAAAACTCATTTGACAGGATTGTGAGGTTGTCATAAAACGTAGTGGAAAGATTCTTTTTACTAAAAATGAATGTACCTAGTTGATTAATCCCTAATACTGCAGGACTTTTTCCAAATGAAGCATCTCATTATAAGAATAAGCTTATAAAACATATTGCACAAAAAAAAAAAGAAGAAGGAAATCACCAAACAGATATAATCTGTTGCTCATTATTTATTATGTTTAACTTGAATAAAAAAAAAATGTGTATTCTAGTTAAATTTGAAAGGATAAATTAAATATGAACACTTATTTATTTTTTTAATTTGATTGCAAAGGTATTAAACATTATTAATGGTATTGCTGATGATTATCTAACTATTTCCTTCTAATTTTTTAATGTTTTTGCACACAAACTGCACCATTTTTTTTTTTAGTTTTTTATTTATTTACGGCGTATATTTCATAGTATTCCTATTGTTCAGTCTTACATGAATAAAATTTTATATGTATACGCTCTCTTGTTAAAAAGACATATCTTCAAAATTGAAGTTATAAATTACAATCTAACACATTCAAGCTAATTATTAGCTTATATTCTCCTGTAAATTTATTTGCACTATTCAGGCAACTTTTAAAAAAATGTTTATGAATTCCATCTTTAAATCTTGCGAGATTTGTTCACTGCAAAACTCTGCACAGTGAATGGAATGTGTAATGATTTATACATCATTTTTGTTTCTATAATCTGTTGCTCATTATTTATTATGTTTATCTCGAGTGAAAAAAGAAAAAATGATTATTCCAGTTGAACTTGAAGGATATGCATTCAAGTGTGTACACTTATTTATTTTTTTAATATGATTGCAAATGTATTAAATATCATTTATGGTATTGCTGATGATTTTGTGACCATTCTTTCTAATTTTTTCAATGTTTCTGCACACAAACTGCACCAGTTTCCGTTTTTTTTTTTTTAAGACTGAAAGCCGAGTCCTAATACAAGAATTATCTGAAACCTTGAAATTTCTAATTGGCTTACTGCAGGGAGAAGAACTCCCTCCGATATCGATCAACTTAGAGCTGGAGAATGTGTTAAAAACATCACTTGAAAATGGAGTTGGAAAATGGAAAACATTGGAATGAATCATAAAATCCTTGGATTAGCAGATGATATATCAGTTCTTGGAAGCAACTAAGAGGGTATTGAGAAACTTGCTAAGACCATGATAACAAAAGCAGGGAAAATTTGGCTACAAATAAATGAAGATGCCTACAAAAAAAAAATATGATAATAAGCCGAATTTTCCATCCTGATTACAGGATCTGGGCTGAAGGAAAATCGCACCCTCGAAAGTTGTATTGAAAATTTTAAGAGAAAAAGCCTCCGCACGATAACCGGAACGATCTGGGATCAGAATGCTAATGCATTGGAGAAAAACCATCAAAGAACTGCTTACAGAAACTGGTCAATCAATCTCATGATATGAATGCAAGAATGTTAAAATGAGCGGGGCATGTAGCTGGGAGCAGTCCATCTGGAATTCCCTACACACTAACGAACGAAATTATCTTACGATTCAAGTTGAAATCGAAATGGTAATAAGTTTTAGACGGATGCTAATAATTTGATAATAAAGAGGTCCATACCCCGGATTTAAACCTATTTCCTTAGATGGAAAGGGTTAAACAGTGATTAATTAATAATGTTTTTTTTAAGCGTTGTATTGGCAATACACTTGGGTTATTTAAGTATTTTCTTGTTTATTAATATTCTGCCTAATGGTACAAATTATCATAATATCGAACGTTATTTTTGTATTTATGTCCCGCCAGATTCGCAATCGGTTAAGGATTATTTTTTTCAGACCCCATAATGTTAAATAATGTATGAAAGATTTTCCTAGACATTTTATTTTATTTAATGAATAAACATAATTTAAAATTTTTTAAACATAAGACCAATTTTTTATAGGTAATTAAGTTGCGAAAAGAGCAACATTCCAGCTCTCATTATTATTCTCTATTAAGCTATAAAATATATTATAATAAGTATAAATTGAAAGTATAAGAAATAGCTGGCTGAAGGAGAGGGATAGAAGTGCTGCATTTGCACAATATGGGTGGAGTAGGCACAAGCAAGGATGTCCTCTTTCGGTGTCGTTGTATGCCTCAGCTTGTTCCTTTCTAGTGCTTATCCAGCCCCGGCTCTTAACAGTGAGTAGATTGTGCCTAACAATATTATTCTTTTATAATTTTACCTCAATTATTTTTCAATTGAAATGCCTTATATTGTGTAATTTGTTTTTGTGTAAATTATGAAGAATATCAATTAAACATAAAAACACATTTATTCCCTCCTCTCTTTTTTTTGCACATAGGTCTAAATTAACAAAAGAAACACTCATAATTTGAAGTGTTTTATCATTGAAATACCATAAAAAGAAAAATAGAAGAAAACTTTTTTTTTTTAAATTTCTGAAACGAACATCAAACATAAAGGAAGAACTAAAGTTGATTTCAAATCCATGGAATCAAATCACAAAAAAAAAAAAAAAAAAAAAAAAAAGATTTAGTGCTTACCTTAAATATACTTTGGTCTTTTTAGTAAAAACAATGTTTGATCGAGGGTCAAACTTGTAATAGAACCAACGCAATGCTGAGGCAAATTATGCAATTAATTTTTGTCATTGTTACAAATAGAAAATTATTTAAACTTAATTAAAAATGTTATTAATTTTAAGGAAGTATTTTGCAATTTGCGTTTATGTATTTTGCATTATGAGTACTTACTTCGTTAAATTAAACCTATGAGCAAAAAAGAGTATGAAAAAAAAAACCTGTGCCAAGTAAGGTCAGTATAGCTTCCTCGCCGTTTTCATTGTCTAAAATATATCTATAATACGAGGTCTAACATTTTTCGTATGGGAATAAAATATCTAGGTAAAGTCGTTTTCGGAAATTTACTAATCCCTCAACATACACAGGTTTGATACCCATGAGTTTTGTTCATCAGAGAATACTAAAATGCGAAAGAGTTTTGCATTTGCAGATTGTATGTTTGATGATCCGTGATTAAAAAAAAAGAAATCACTGCATACTGAAGAAGAATCTCACTACTGTTCTTGCTGAAGATTGTATGTACAAATTAAGTGTTTTACAGGATAGTATAAAAGCTAATTGTTTCTTTATGATTTATTTGTATAATTTCATATTGTCTTGCCCTCCGCTATATTTCATCGTAGCAGACTTCTTATATTAGTTGCAGACTAAAAAAATGTCGCCTTTAGAACAAATAGAATAAAAGTTGTGTTCGGAGTTTACGAGACCAATACTTTTCTTTAGTCAGAACAAAACTAATTACGTTAGAATATAAAAATATTCGTGAATTTCACACAACTTTGATATTTAGGATAAAATCGTGACCACGACGAGCAGGTTGTATTCAATAGAAATAATCACAAATAAGTCGGTTTTTTTTTCAAACTCAAGAGTAAAAATTAATTTAATTTTACTGAAAATTGCAAGAAATCTAGTGCCATACCCGCAACGTTTGCAATCTACCAAACATAAATAAGGATAAATTAACTCTTTCAATAACCCCATACATATAACTTTGAATAAACTTTGATAACCCCATAAAAATATTGTCTTAACCTAACTCACACCCTATATGATCAATGCCTTCCAAATATCACAGCCATTATAATGTTAACAATTAATTATATTAATTTTAATTATTAAGAAATTCAATGATATTGATACTAGGTAATTTCTATACTGCTTTCCAAATGTTCTCCAAGTTTAAGTCAAATCGAACTCGAAGTTTTCAAACTATAGTCGTTTCAAATAATAAATTTCCTTATCTGAAAGCGGAACTATGTTGTTTTTGAGTAGGTAATAGAAATTAATAAAATGGATGCATACTTGATTATCTGTTGATTATCACTATCATTCCTCCCAATTTGAGTTGAATTGGACGTGCGGTTTTAAAGATATAGACGTATCAAGGAAAACACGTTTGCGCATATATAACAGAAGATAGTAGACATAATTCAATGAAATTGATGCTACATTAATACTAAATAAATAAATACTAAATTGTAAAAAAGAGCGTAACGAATAGAATAAAAAATTATTTAATAATTTTATTACTCACAATTTAGTATTTATTTGACCGCACCCCCCTACCATCTCCTAATATTTTTATTAGATGAAATGTGAGAGAAAGTCTGCATTTCAAATTTTTTTTTACTGATATTTATGTCTTCATTGTTAATTAGTCTGGATAATCCCGTTACATTTGCACATAACTGAATTACAGAATATTAATTATTTATTTTGAAAATTATCCTTTCATACAAGTAGCAAGCAAAAATTTACTTCTATAGTGTACACATAATTTTACCTTACATTTTCATATTATTTGAAGTAGTTAAAATATGATGTTATTAAACTATTTTCTCGATTCCATACACATACTTCATATTTTATTATTTCACATTATAATTAAAAACTAAAATATTTTCGATGAATGAATTTTATAACTTCACTTTCACCAAACCTGATTAGACTTAATTTGTCTTATATTTATTAGATTCCTCCCTTCCGCTATCCCATCTGCTTTGTTAATTTTATATTATTTGATTCATACTTTACGTAATCCACATTTATAAAGATTATAAAGTATGATTGTCGTGTGATTTGAATTAGCGATTTTAAAACATGGAAAATAACACACGAAAAGTAAAGATTTTTCTTTAAAAAAGAAACAATAAATAATAATAATTATATAATACAAAAATAACTAAAAAGTGTGTTTATGCATTTATAATTATTATACATCCCAGGTCATCGGTAAAAAAATAAATTAAATCTTTGCAATAATCTGTTGTAATTTTTGTGAAAACACTAGTACTTTTATTTGACAGGTTATAAAATCAAATTTTTTTTTTTTACACAGCTTGGGGTGAATATTTCTATGCGGTTTTTTTCTGATATTGGGATATCGGTAGTAAAGTTGGAGGGTTATTAAACAAAATTGCAAATAATTTATGATTTTTTTTAAACGGAATTTAGCTTCTCAAAAGTTCTTTTTAAATAGTTTTAACACTGACAGAGTCTATTTTTATTTGACATAAATTTTGTCTTGTTTATATTGAAGCAATTGTTAATTACTTGAATTAAATATTTCTTTAGTTATCGCATTCTCTTCTACAAAAAACTTGATCCTTTAAAAAACACAAACTTAAATTTCCTACTTTTTGTCGAAAATCGGACCAATCTTTATATAAACTTTTTTGTAGCTCTTGAGGTCTAATTTCGCTTCTATAAAATTTCCCTCTACTTAAGGGACACCCTGTATATACTATAAAATGTGTTTATAGGCAATTATTACATTACGTCCCATATTGTGGGAAAACAAGAAATACAAATTTTTCAACAGTTAATTGTAATCATTTTTGCTGAAAACATTGGTACTTTTAGGTGACTAGATGGACAATCACATCATTTCTTTACATAACTTGAGGTGAATCTCATAACTTTTCCTAATAAACATCAACTTAATTAATATGGACTTAAAGCTTATATCGTTTCCTAAGTTTCTTTTGAATATTAAGCGATAACTTAAAAAATATATGATTCAAATAATTAAACATTGCTCTATAGTAAACTAGAAAAAATTTACTTTAAGCGAAAGTAGAGTTTGTCATTGTAAAACTATTTAAAGATGACTATTGAGCGGACAAACACAGCTAAGTTCCGTTTGAAAAAATGTCATAAATTATTTGTGATTTTATAATCACCCATCAATTGTACTAAATTTACTCCACTTTTAAAAAACTTCCTCGTTTAATAAACTTTAAGGAGAGAAACACAATTTAATAACCACTTTACATGAAAAATAATCATTTTAAATTTTTTATTACCATAAATAAAATGTGTTTTTAGTAGAGATCGAACGATAACGATATTAATATCGGCATCGGCGAATATCGAACGCCGATATGCCGATATAAATTTGAATAAAGACCGATATATTGGTCTTATGACCTTATCTAATTGAGATTCTAAGAATTTCAATTTGTATCGTAATTTTATTGCTAATAAATGCGCAAATCAATCGTCAACGGGTCTACATAAACATAAATTTGAGTAATACCGATATATCGGCTTTGTGAACTTATTTAACCTAGATTATTGAATTTGATTAATTTTTTTATTTTGTTATGTATTTTTTTTGGTCGAATATAATGTTTTTGCCAATAAATCGTCAAGAGATCAACATAAACATACATATGAGTAAATACCGACATATTGGCCTTATAATCTTATTTTATTGAGATTGGTAGAGTTAGACAATTTTTAATTAAATTTTTTATTGGCCTTCTTTCTCCTAATTTGTGCAAATGCCGATATTCCAAAGACCATTATATCGGCCTTACGACTTTATTTTATAGAGATTCTAAGAATTTTACTTTGAATATTATTTTTATTGCCAATAAATTCATCAATCAAACGTCAAGGGATCAACATATATATAAATATGAGTAATACCGATATATCGGCCTTATGACCTTATTTAATCGACATTAATAGTTTGACCATTAAAAAGAAAAAATTGTCCAATATTATTTTTATTGGTAATAAATGCGTCAAAAAATCGTAAAAGGATCAACATAAACTTAAATATGAGCAAAGACCGATATATAGGCCTTATAACCTTATTTTATTGAGATTCGTATGGTTTGACCAATTTTTTATATATTTTTTGGTCCTTCTCCACTAATTTGGGCAGATACCGATATTCCGAAGGACAATATATTTTGTCTCCCAACCACATTTTATCAGGATTAGTTGAGTTGGGTTTATTTTTTTTAATTTTATTTTTTTTGAGCATCACTGCCACATTTTTTTCAAACCGATATATCATTGGACCGAAAAACTTTTGGGAGAAGACAAGCACAAAATAAAAAAAAAAATTATCAAGCTGTAATAATAAAATTAAATCTTAAGGCCAATATTTAGGTCTTTATTCACATTTATGTTTATATCGATTCCATGGCGATTGATTAACTCATTTTTTATCAGTGTATGGCGATATATCGGTCTATGGCATGGACTGGAAAACATTTGAAAGAAGTTAAGCACAAAATTAAAAAAAAAAAAAACTCGAGATTGACAGAGTTTGATATTTTTTATAATAAAGTCTTCCT